GAACTAACTGGCACAGCAACCAAGGTGGGCGCCACTCTCGCCATGGTCATGTCCTTACGTCCCTGCGCCAAGTGGTGGACGGCCGTCAGCACTCGATTCCAATCCTACCCTTTTCTCATCAAAAACACCTCTTCCACCTTTCTCAGACACGTGACTGCTGCTGCCTAGCAATTAGCTTTATTTTTTACTATCGCACCTGAGTCTTTATTTTTTACTATCGCACCTGAGTCACGGCAAGCCATCTTGGATCTACACGCTAGCCGCCTTAGTTGGACCACTTCACACAGCAGTTCGCCACTCTCCGGCTCTCACCACTGCCATTATGCATGCTCGTGTCAATCCTGAATACGAGAAACACTGCCCCGTATATATATAGGCCAAACTACGTGCTAACGGCGTCGAACAGTTATGGCCCCGGAGAGAAACTCCACATCGACATACAGGGCCCATCCCCCCTGATCGCGATAGCAACATTCATGCCTTGAACATGACAAGCAAGGGTTCCACATTTGGCCTCCATAAAAATCTACCGAATAAGATGTCGCTGGAGCAACACTTCGGGGAGCTCCTCACTCGCATTCACCCCCATTGGAAGCCTCACACCCTCACCGCTGATGGTGACCCTGTTCTTCACAGTACCATTGTGAAGAATCATTGCACATCGCTCGGTATCCAACTCCGTGTCAACCCCCCCCCTCCCACACACACACCCCAAATGAATTCCACCGTGGAAAGACAGCATGACACCCTCAAGAATATGGTTCGCTGCCTGCTTCTCGAAGCCGGGATGTCACTGCCACTTTGGGGTGTAGCAAAAGACTTCGCCGACACACTCAGGAACCGCACACCATCCAAGAACTCCAAACTCTTTTCCCCACATCGTGTATGGTATCGTGCCCCTGAAACCTTCTTCCCACACATGCGTTTTAGGTGCGTTGTCGCCTACAAAATTTACAAATCTTCTGGCAACCCACCTCTCCACAAGTATAGCCCCCAATGGGGTTTTGGTGTCTTGCTCGGGTACACACTAAACGGAACTGATGACACATTCAAAATACAGAGTTTTTTCCACCCAGCAAATTCTACATAACCGGGACGTACAATTTTTTACTGAGGAACGACCCCAATGGTCGGCCTCCGGTAAACATGTCACCCGCAGTGCTTCACCGTCATCTTGGATCATTCCCTAGGACTGGGCTACTGCATCACACCACATCGCCATCGAAATCCTCTTTGTTCTACCCCACGGCCATCCGACTATACCGGCGCCAGTCATACCTCCACCTCCCACTCCCATTATATTTCCCCAGCCCCATTCCATTCCACCAGTACCTACCCCCATCTCTCTACCCACGGCAACGCCTCCAGTGCCTACCCCCATCCCCATGCCTACCACAATACCCCCGGCGCCTACCCCAATTCCCATAGATCCGATGCCAACCCTCCCGACTAACATCTCTCCGGTGCCTTCCCCCATGGCCCTCCCTACTACTATACTCCCACCTTCACATCCAATTCCCATCCCCATCCTCCTCAGGACGATCCTACCGACTACCCACCTCCCTAATGTCACACATGACTTCGGATTCGATTCCCATTTGGCAGCATTTTACACTCCCCCTGATACTAACGTCTACGATCCCGGTCCTGCCAATACCCCCGGCACCTACTCAAATTCCTATTGATCCGATGCCTACCCTCCCGACTAACATCTCTCCAGTGCTTTCCCCCATGGCCCTCCCTACCACTATACTCCCACCTTCACATCCAATTCCCATCCCCATCCTCCTCAGGACGCTCCTACCGACTACCCAGCTCCCTGATGTCACACGTGATTTCGGATTCGATTATCATTTGACAGCATTTTATACTCCCCCTGATACTAACGTTTACGATCCAGGTCCTTGCCGCCAATTTCGCAGATTCTGAGCCATCTGCGCTTTGTGCGCAGATCGCTTTCCTTCGCGGCGACAAGGCTCAATGCGATTCTTCTCGGACCCCCCCCCCCCCCACCCACCACCTCGTATCCGCCTCCTCAGCCGCATGGTTACTTCTCAACGCCGACTACTCGTACACGGCACACATCAGCTCACTTACAGCGTTTGCCACGTCTCTCCCACTAAAAACCCCGAGTTTGCTCTCCACGATGCTATCGACCTACTTGACGACACTGCGCTCAAGAGCATCTCTAAGGCACACGCATCCTCCGAATGGCCCTTGTGATCGACCGCGATCGACCGCGAACGCCAGGCTAGCTCTCGCAACCAACTGGCCGATGTAACCCCCTTGTCGTCTGTTCCACCTCACCTTGTCGTCTGTTCCACCTCACCTTGTCGTCTGTTCCTTTCTAAATATCTATTCACGAGGGAACACGACGAAAACGGTGACCTTGCCATTCACAAGGCTCAAATGGTCTGTTAGAGTACAATGTAGTAGACTTCAAATAAAGTGCAAATGTATATATTTATTTCTGACCTCGCATTTGGTTTTATACCTAAGGTGTTTGTGCTAGTGTTCAGCCGCTTGGGCTGGCCAGGGTAAAACCTCATATGGTCAGTATGATAAACTTTATGCAGAACACTTTAACACTTCGATGCTATTCTATTTCAACTTCAATGCAACTAAATCTCACGCTGATCACATGATGCCTTTCCGCATAGGTTGCGACTCACATAGAACCGCAGCTATTATTAATATATTGCGGTAGACAGGCTTAATCCACTCTCGGGAACCGGTTGAGAAACTTAATCTGCTCTCGGAAGTCGGTTAAGTAATAACTAAACTCTTGAGAGTAGTTTGAGCAACTTGATTAGCTCTCGGGAGTGAGCTAACTCTGATGACGCCGTCAGCCCGAGAGTAATTTAGGCCTTGTTCTCAAATTAATATATGTACAGGTGGGTCAGGCCAAGAGAACGTAAGAGTAATTTGACACTTCTTCTCAGATTGTTCTATTTATAGGAAACGGCTACCGGCTAGCCGAGAATCCCGAGAGCCGAGGTCCGAGACTGAGAGTACGTAACAGAGAATGTGATTTACTTATTGTTAGAAAATATATTCCAGTACTAATGTGTTGTGCATAAGGTTTCTCATTTTGATCATATGAGGTTTTTTACCATGGCCAACCCAAGTGGTTAACACTAGTACAAACACCATCAGTATATAACTGAGGGTGAGATCATATATAAGTTCATTCAAACACACCACTCTTTGGATACATTTGCACTTTATTTAAAGTCTACTACATTACACTAACAATTTTTAGTCCACCACATTTCACTTTAACACAGAACATATGACTATTATAGCATTGTCCATTCACCTCATGGTCTTGCGGTGGTATACGATGTTAATCATACGTAAAAACGATTACAATAATAATGTACATTACTAGATACGACGGTATTAACAATACAACAGAAAGAAAACTGCTCATCAACGCTACAGTCTTGCTATCGACGACATCATATTTTAACCACGCAGATATGCGCACAGCACTGCAAAGTAAACGACCGGAGCGTGATATGTCAAAGAAGTCGATTGCACGATACGACGCAAAATGCATGCATCCAATTGTTCTTCGGAGGTTAGTTCGATCAGCCATATTTTCTTTTCACTTCTCTCTAGAGGGTCATGCCCAATTGCAAACAGTTGGTCGAGAGATTGGGGAACAACTTGCAAAAATTGAAGACTCCACACGAACCAAAAATGGTTGTGAAAATTAGAAAAGGGAAAACGAAATTACCAAACTTATTCAAACAACTTGCCTACACGAGATTATTCAATGAATTCGAGAATACATGCTCACTCGCGACCATACTTTTTATGATATAATTATATAACAACCAAAAATTCATCAAAGTGCAACGTTTAAACACCGATTTGTGAAGTCAATTGCACGATACGACGCAAAATGCATGCATCCAATTGCATCCAATTGCGAAATATTGTTTAAAAGAAAACCAGGAATCGAAATTTCAATGTACCAACCATAGCGATCATGCAATGTTAAAGTAAGTATCTAAGAAACAAAAAAAATTAGCACACGTTCTATAGAGTTTCTGATGTTCGATTCGGTTTACCAGATTTAAGCTTGTCTTCGTAAATATAAAACCCGTTCACTTAATCGAGGACAGTTTACGCCTATCTGCTTAAATAAATACAAGCACTTGGTGACTTGGAAAAAAATAATACCAAACCCACTTTCTTACTTTAATATCAGCTACTTATGCAATCTTGACGGGTTGATTTCTTCCTTCAACAGCCACGCAGTGAATTGGCCTAATTATCGGCCCGATACTTATTGTGTAGTTTCAGTAAAGCATTGTTGGCCAGGGCAGCAAATAAAAAAATATGAACATGGATGTTTACTCCGCGTGATTGTATTCTAATATCGAACACTTCCAGTTCTTTCCAATGTGGTTTTCAAACGAGGTACAAATTATATATATCAATTGGGACAATTCTGCTGTAGCTTACATTATGCATGGAACTTTAGAAAAATAATTTTCACTGCAGCGATGCTTGTTGCTTTTACAAGCGTGTGTGTTTCATGAATAGCTCCAATTCTTACTGGCTCGCCTTCCATTGTCTTGGCTGAAAAATTGTATTGCGGCTTCGTATTTTAATTGCAGGTGGGGACTATTCGTATCAGCTAATCTTTTGCAATCGGACAGTCTTCACAATTTTTCCTCCCTAGTGTTTGGACTGATTTTTCTAGCAACAGTTATTAAATGTCTGCCTTATATTGCGCTTTAGCACTTCAATAGTTATTCAATTAAAGTGTCTGCCCTGTATATTGCGCTTTGGAACTTTACATTTTTAATTGCATGTCTATTTACGATTAGCTAAGCTTTTACAATCGTATGTTTGAACTGATTTTGTCTGCAACAGTCGCTGTAAATACGTGTTTGCTTTATATTGCGCTTTGAAATATTTTTCTTAATTACATGTGGGGACTATTTACGACCAGCTAAACTTTTGCAATCGTACTCCTGTCACAATTTTTCTACCCAATATTTGCACCGATTTTATTAGCAGTATTTATTGTATAAGTGGCTGCTTTATATTTCATTTCGTATTAAGATAGATGCCGGTTGGGGGTGTTAGTAGACTACTTATGGTACATGCGGGAACTTCTGAGGGCCTTAACCAGGATCTGTCATATTGGTGTAAATTTCAGCCACCGGATCTTGCAACATATCGATGTTACTCGATATATATGGTATTACTTGCTAATAGTACATTGAACACATCTGTTTCTCTCTAATGGTGGTTTCAAGTAAGGTACAAACTGATGTGTATATCAGTCGAGTGAATTCTAATGTAGCTTACGTTCTGCGCGGGATTTAAGAATAATAGTTTCAGCGATTCTTGTTGTCGCTTTCACAAGTATAATTCATGTTTCGTGAAGAACTCCGAATTCTTGCTGGACGTCTCTCATTGTCTCGGCTGAAAAATTACCTTATAACTTAATATTTTTTATTGCATATGGGGACTATTCATGACCAGCTAATCTTTTGCAATCGCGCTGCTTTCACAATAATATTTCTCCCTCAAGCCTGGACCGATTTTGTTAGCATCAGTTATTGTGTTCAGTGTCTGCCTTATGTGCTTTGGTATTATTATTTGCTTTCGTACTTTTGCAATCGTCCTGCTCCTACAATATTTTCTTTTTAACGTCTGGATCATTTTATCAGCGAGAGTTATTGTAGAACCAATTGTTTCTAAATACATGTGGGAAATATTTACGACCAGCTAAGCTTTTCCAATCGTACTGCTTGCACAATTTTTCTTCCTGATGTCTGGACTGAGTTTAATAGCAGCAATTATTGTGCAAATGGCAGCTATTTTATTTCGCTTGTATTAAATGGTGCCGGTTGGGTGTGTTAGTAGACTACCTGTGATACATGCAGAAACTTCTAAGGTCATTCACTCAGATCTAGCATATTAGGATAGATTTTAGTAACCGCACCTTGCGATCTCCTGTGAAACTATTTTCGAGCCGGATTCGGGATTATAGTATATAAAAGCTGCAACCTAACAGTTGTGTGTGCGATGATTACAGACTGAGTTTTCAGACCTCGTGGGTATTTCGATTTATTGCGAGCTAGACATATCGATTTGCATGATTTTCCTCAGTAATGAGTCCCAACTCTTGCCAGGCGAAGCGCCAACATGTCATGGAGCGCAATCGAGACGAATTGTCGGGTGAAAAAAAGATTATCTTGTGTCCACGGTATAAAGGGCGAATTCTAGTAAATGCAAAGTGGGTTGCGCTTTATTTTAAGCAAATTGTACTTCGATTGTCAAAATTGTATGAACGATATGAAGTTCAAGACAATGTCGCATCTGTACAATCGCGGATCCGGTGGTGCATTGCAATCTATGCCAGTCATTGCAGCTTTCATCAAGCTACTATAATATCTTCAATTTATCTCGCTTATTCAATCGCGGCTGCCGTATTGGTTGTCAGAGTCATCGTAATCCACAACACAATAGCATAATAAGGTCTCGCGCAAGTCAAACTATAGGTCTCTCTTGGATAGGTTGTGTACTCTTCGCACCTGCGAGTTTATTAACATCGGTACCACGTATGGATGTTCTACCTTCGTTCGAGTGCGGCCTTCAGCACCACTCGATGGACTTCAATATTTCCAGGCACTACATTTTTTATTCAAAGACCCCACAGACTAGTTTAAGCGGAGGGTGTGCTATCAGTGCGCCAGAATGAGGAATGCGGGGTTATCTCAATTTCCTTACTGTTCAACGCATATGAGAATGCAATGTGTTGACGAGGATTAAAAAACTTCAACAGTCCTGTGCATTCCGCCAAGCTGACCGCTTTGCCTTGATTCTTAAATTTCCAAAGAGCGATTATCCCTCATTGTCTATATAGATCTATGGAAGCCATGGTGTCTTGTAAGATTTTTCGTAGTGATTCGGATGCAACACTTGTAGCATAGAGCTTGACTATTGTGTCTATAGCCATAAGATGAAGATATATACAATAATAACTTTACATATGCAGCAAGCCTGTATTGTTCAGGCCCAAACAGACATTCCCATATATATCTAACCCAGCCTCGAGTATTGATAAACAGTATCAACACCGAGATTAGACAAATACAATCATTTTATTCTGATTTGAATTTGGCGACTATAACTCATTCGGTTCGCTTTGCATGCTGCGTGCCACTAATGGTTGTGGCTTTTAATGAGAGGCCAATCTTGTGTCACCTCAATACACCAACACGTTGAACAATCACAATTCATTATGTACTTTGCATGGCGAAGGCGTACATGAAGATACCGCGATTTACCCCCTGGACCGTACATACCATGTACGATTCTAGGCTATAGCATTAGCTTTCACTGGCCACAAACAACGATGTTCAGCGAAAATAGATAGTATGAATATGGAATATGTTGACTATCAAGTCGCGGACATATACACCTCTCCGCGTATAGTGAAGCACGTATTCTTCCCGGACCAGGGTTGCCATTCAAGCCCATTTAGACCAATTGCACAAGGCTATTTTTCCCAATCTGTGCTAAGGTTTGGCATGCACAAGTTGTATTAGTGCAAACTTGCAAAGCAGCTCCTTGAACTTTATCACAATATTGGCAACAAGGCTCATTCCTTGAGCGTGACGACAGACATTGCGCGCGTAGGCTTACTCGGGCAATCATCTGGAAGGCATATCGGGTCATTTGAACCCATGTGCAAAAGAGTTCAGCATCTACTCTGTTCCCCCATAGTAACTCGTTTGTGCAAGTTAAGTTTAGCTCACTCATGCCAGTTGCACCTGTGCTTGCGTTAGGTAGCTGGAGAGGATGCCTTGAACCTGTGGGTCTAGCCCTTGCAGCAACGCAGGCACCTGTCGAGCATGTGAAAAATTTGTTGTATATGAATAACAACGGAAACACAATATTTCGAAGGGAAGCACAATATTTCGAAGGGAAGCGTACGGAGGGACGACGACAAAAAGCTACACTCGAATAGATACAGTCGAACACAGCCTATGTGGCCAAGTGTCTAGTGACCTGAAACATACCTTCCCCGGCATCTTTGTGGACATGGTGTGTAAAGCTTTTGCCAAGTGAATACGCGCATCTACCACTGCAGCAAAGGGGTCTACTTCTGGTTTCTTGGCGAACTGCGCATATATGGTCGAGCGATATCATTCATTAGCATGGTAGCATTATAGTGAAACCTCCAAAGATTAGTTAAAGGGCGGGCCACGGAGTGTAATACTAGACTAACGAATGATGAGTGTGCTTTTCTAGCTTCATGTACGTGAATACAATTGCCACCTGCTTAGTCAGTACATCTGTGCAGTCAAACTATTAATATGTACATTTCATTTCAGATAGGATACCTGCAAATATTGTGACAGATATCAGCAATTCAAATCAACGTGATAGTAGTGCACCGGATGACGCGAGACGGATGCAATATGTCACTAACACGCTGGGCGATGCACGCAATGCCTAATCGAAAAGGTTTGCCAACAGATAGAAACGTAAAACAGTAATCATACCCCTCCATATGGCAGGTGGTAGTGTAGTATGTGATCAGATAACCGCACAGGTAAAGGCTACGGAGCATTTGGACATTCACAACAGATATATAGCCAGCGATTTCTACACCAGTAAGTTATACTACGGACCACACTGGATATAGTCTCCACACTTGTAGATAGAGCGCCAAGTAATTGGAAGCCAAACATGATCAAGCATATGCATACCGAGAGTTGCGTATGCACCGTTGCGAACTCCGATGCATGTGTGAATGAGACTTCCTCGATATCATCGTCGTCCTTCTTCTCCTTAGGCAATTCAAATAGCTTGAGGAGGGCTGTGAGCAGGCTGGCAAACGAGCTTTTATATGTGGTTATCATCGCCGGGCACTCTGCAGCGGTTGGTGTACGAGAGAATTTAGTACCAGTACCAAACTTTTAAAGCGAAGGATTTTAATGTCTTATAGCGCTCACACAACTATTCGTGAGAAGAACTTTCACCCTTGTGGTGCCTTGGTAGCGTGCATCACAGATTCGCGAGGTTTGTTATACATGTCAACAACGCTGAGTACGATGAGATTCGAATACGTTTCAATCACGAAATATTGAATTCAAATTCTTACTTCGAATAAGTTGAATTGAACGTTTTAAATTAAAATGAATTCAATGGCACGGAATTAAATTCAACTGATTTCCCATTAAATGCAATGCGATTCATTTTTTCTAACTTCCAATGCAATGTGTTCCGATGCGAAACAATGAGACACAATTCAATACAATTCCATGCGACTCAATACTAAATACGACGGAGATACTTACAGATACGCCATTTCCGAAAAAAGGATACAACTAAGTCTGCGTGTGAAAAACATACATGCACCGACACAAACCTTACAGAAGACGCACTCAACTAATACACACCTGTGAGTAATCGGATAAATCCTACAGCGCATATTTTCCGGTTGTGTGAGGTTTGTAGTTTTTGCATCGACGGCAGGTACAGTGACGTGATGACCATATTGAATAACTTTGGCTGTATTGAGTCTATCGCATTGATCACCAGATCTGCACCGGAAGCAGGAAGATTGTGTGAGATAGCTATGTGTGTGTGTCCATGCGCAGTACTTCTCGATGACTGCAACTGAAGGAAAACAGACTGGTGAGGAATCTGTAGAGCGCTCACCCAAGCGCACACAGAAACCCATTGCGAGAAAACTACACACAGATACCATCACAATATTGGGTATATATATCATATGTTTGTCACATAACACCAAAAAAAAAGTGGAGAGAATACTAATCAAGGACTTACCAGGACCATGCAGACCCATCATGAGCGTGCTGTTCACTATAATGCAGGACACCAGCTTCGGACTCTTCGCTGCCTGAAGCCTGCTGAATATGAGGTTGTATATTTGTCTCACGTGTTGTTGATATCCCTGCAATTTGAGAGTGAATGGAAGGTGTTCAGGTGCATGCATAAACGTATTGAATACGAATACAAGAAGCAATAATTCATTTCTGAGTGATAAAAGTGCGTTGTAGGCGGGTCATGTATATCAAACACCACTGCAACGGAGGAGTGTGGGGGCTTGTTCGTTATTGGTGGCTGAACGAATCGTACGGATTGGGGAAAGGAACAACCTCCTGAAGATTATATCACTGTATGAAAGACTCGCGCAGTGTTTGTAGCCCGCAACGAAGAGATCTAGATCACATCGGGTTATAACACAATGTAGAATGAACAGGCTGTGGGATCGGAGAATAAAGGGGTGGTATAGGGAGGCATAATCCAAGATATTGATATTGTCCCTGCAATCCAGCGGAATCAAGCATTCAAGTGCAGCGTGATTGCGATAAATCTGTCTGAATCCAAGCAACATCGGATTTGATACGGTAAAAGGACAGCGAGCTCATTTGAAAGAAACTATACACACATATTAACGTATACACGTCTACACACCTCGACGGGCACATGCGTGACAATAGCGTTGAGAATAGCAAAGCCGAAGTGGTCGTTCGATTTGCTGGCCAACAGCTTCTGGAAGATACCCAGCAGCGACTCAATAGTCCTCGTGTCTGTGGAGAGGGTGGCCCCCATCTTAGAGATGTACGTTTGTATGAACTTCGACAGGCCAGGTACGTTGCCTGCTCAATTGACCAGAGACAACTAAGTATGAGTGAGTGTATATGTATGTTTGTTTGTTTGACCTTCCACATTGACCAGAGATTACGTGGGTGCGAGTGAGTACATTTGTATCATATATATGCATTTTTGTATGGACTTTCATAATCTAGACACATTGGCTGCGTAATCGATTAGAGATAGCGTAAGAGTGAATAAAATCGCATCTGCTAGATGTATGTTCCTATTAACTGCGACAAGCCCAGCACGTTAGCTGCTCAACTAAACAGTGACAATGCGGATGTGAGTGAGGGAAATCTAGTGACCAATCTCAGTGATGTAGTACGCTCGTATAAGCTTCGGCAAATCAGGCACCTTGCCTACCCAATTAAATCAGGTATTCAAGTGTAACAATAAGTGACTGCATCCTAGTAGCCTAATTTGAAAATGTGTGCACGTATGAGCTTCGATGATCCAGGAGCAGCACCTGCACAGTTTACTAGCACTGGTGCAAGTATCAATGAAAGTATTCTAGCCACCCAACTAAGTCATGTATGGTTGTAAGTGTACACCTGGATGCCCCAGGCACACTGCCTGCTAGAATTGCATAGGTGTATAATAGTGCGAGTGTGAGTGAATGTTTTTCGGGAATTGTAGAGCAATACTGCAGTTCTGTCGTCCACATTCCTTGTTTCCTAAAGATTTGGCGCACAGACAATCAAACTTTCTGTAATGCAAATCATACAACGTCCTTCCTCACCCTGTAACAATGCTACAACTTCCGCACAGGTATACTTTCAGCACCGCTTGACTCAACTACAGCGCTACAATTTCCATACTAATGATTCATTTACGTACCGCTTCACATTCCCACAAAGGTAGAGTTTACGTACATTTTTTTCCGTTTACTTACCGCTTTTCTCCCACAGTACCGGTGCCATCAGGTGAGGGAACATATCCGTGTACGTCGCTGGCAGCGCGCCGAGGTTCAACTCCAGCAATTGCGACATTATTTGGAAAACATAAGGCAAGAATTCTGTGAAGGGGATTACAGCACCAAGATATAATACGTTAGTCACAATAAATAAATAAAAGTACCTAGGTACTGGGCAAAAGATCAAAGGAGGTAAGACATCTAGAGAGGATGCAGAATATAGCAACCGTTCGAACATTCCGTATCTCAAAGTCTCGCGAAGGCACAATAGGTATTACACCTTTCAATCGGATAGAGAAAACACGTTCTCTCTGCAGAAGGCACAATAGGTATTACACCTTTCAATCAGATAGAGAAAACGCGTTCTCTCTGCTGTCGGTAGCGATGCGCAACAATACAAACAGGAAGCGCTCACGTCCATTTCGGGCCAACAACACTATGGTCTTATGCAAAAGGGCACTCTGTATAGTAGTTTTCACTGAGAGCACAAGATGGAAGGAGAACGCACGCGCAAATAAAGTGTACCCGTGCATGCACACTAGCTTCCACCGATTTTTGAGACTCCAGCCTTTGCTAATATGCTGGTCTATCCCTGATAGTTACCCGAGGGTCAGCGCATTGCATTGCATTTTAGGGAAAATACGAGGACAGCATACAAGCAAGCACGATCACGCAGATCGTACCTGTCACCGCGGTGTATACTGATGCTACAGAAACACATTGTTCGTACTACCGAAGTACCATGTGCGTGAGATTTACAGGCTAGCTCAGTGTATTCTCAATGAGCAAAGCAAGTAATGTGCCCCCGCCCACTAGAACAGGAGATCGTATGGGACAGGCGGGGCAGCAAAATGTTGTCTCAAACCCAATACTACTTTTTTTGCGTCACAACACCAATTCAGGTGCCGCACAGGTCAACCCAATACTCCTTTCTGCATCACAACACCAATTCAGGTGCCACACAGGTCATACATACCTAAAACCTCTTTCTGCAATATCACCACGAAGCGAGGCAGCAGATAGGTTTCAAACGCAACCACAAGACTGGGATCAGTGCTGTTGCAGCAGAACCGCACAGCGGCACTGATAGACTCGAATAGGTAATGGTTGAAATCGGGTTTGGTGGGGTTCGCCGAGACCTCTTCCAGTTTCTTTATCAAGCGATCCATGATGGATTCTAAATAGGGGAAGATATCCTACAGATGAGGGGTACACAAGGATAAATTGGGTTTAAGCAATGGGAAAACATTCTGCTGGAGAGAAGTGGGGTGGATTGGTACAGATTGCGTATTTCGCGTGCCAATACCCAATTGTGAACACATTCGATTGTGAACAGTATAAAAAGTTGGAAGCATAACGACTGAACTATACAATATGAGCATAAATACAAGTACTGTATTGGGCAATCTTAGGCTGACTGCACTTTGCAATATGAGCATACATTCAAGTACTGCACTTTACAATATGAGCATACATTCAAGTACTGCACCTTACAATATGAGCATACATTCAAGTACTGCACTTTACAATATGAGCATACATTCAAGTACTGCACTTTACAATATGAGCATACATTCAAGTACTGCACTTTACAATATGAGCATACATTCAAGTACTGCACTTTACAATATGAGCATATATTCAAGTACTGCACTTTACAATACGAGCATACATTCAAGTACTGCACTTTACAATATGAGCATACATTCAAGTACTGCACTTTACAATACGAGCATACATTCAAGTACTGCACTTTACAATATGAGCATACATTTAAGTACTGCACTTTACAATATGCGCATACATTCAAGTACTGCATTGAGCGATCTTAGGCTGCGCTATACGGAAAATCTTGTGTTCAACGCACGGCGCCACAGAACCAGCAAAGATAATATCACTGTCTCTACGGAGATACACCAGTGGATCCGACACAATTGACTCTGTCTCTACTTCCAATGTGACTGTGACCCTCAAAACGATAGCCCCCGCTATTGACGCACCCGCACCAGCGCTAAATAACCCACGACGACAGACTGGTACAAAAACCTCCAGACGACTAAAAAAGAAGGTGCGCCGTCATATCTGCCAATGGCGCCGTGCAACCCCCGCCACTTAAGATCCTCAAATCAGATACAATCCCTCGGTGGTGGACATCTGCGATCCATGCACATGTGCACGGGATACCGCCACAAACAATACACGCACATCTCATACCTCCCATGCCAGATATAGCAGCCGTATTGTAATGACTCACCGAGATATCTATCAAGCATTGATGTACACTACACACGCTTAAGCGACCCTCCCCCCAAATTCCTGTTCACAGTTTTCAGTCACCTGACGGTTTCTAGCAGTGATCTCTGGCACAGTTCGTCATAAACCACGCACACGTGAACGTGCCGCCACAACACATGGATCCACCCACGTCCACGATGATATATACTGTCACACAAGTGCATGCAAGAGTACCCACGCGCATGTGTACGTAGAACTACACCCCACACACCCACACACCTCCTTGCCCACGTTTATCAGGCGCATGGTGGTTTTCATCAGGTAAGGATTGAGACTCGCCTGCCCTCCCTTAGCAATCGCTGCGAACACATTGTTGATCGCTTGCGACAGGAAGGGCTTGATATCCTGCCGCGTAATGCTACCAACGCGTCAGGGTGTAGCAAACGATATGACAGTTAGTAGGATCCAGTGAAGACCAGGTAATAATGGAGCAGGGTCTGCATGCAAGTGGACTGCTACCAACACAAGAGGTTTGATCACTTGCCACCAGTCAGACTCGGTATCCTGCCGTGTCATGATATATACGCGTTAAGATGCATTGGATGAGGGTATATGAACGTCTACAATGAATTGATTAACAAAGGGGCCAGAATTTATAGTGATTGGTCGAAAGGGGATTAAAGTGCCGTGCAGGTGCCGGAGGGTTCAAGATGTATTGATTATTGGTGGGGCCTCCACATAATTGGCGCGCAGAGGATATATGGAGTGCAGCGTGCATCATGTTGAGAATTTGTTCACAAACCACATAGTTGTCAGAGGGTCATACCACACATACTGACACAGCATGTGTGAGGTTTGAAATGTGGGAATAAGCGCTTCAGAGTACAAATACAACGTACAAGGCCCTCATAGGAAGAATTACAACAACTGGATATCCCCATGCATCGTTTTCAAAACATGTGAAATAGTTGTACGAAATATGGACGGCCGCTGTGTGTAGAAGCATAGTACTTCTTATCGGATTCACCGCACACAAACAGAACCATAAATTCTGACAACACCTGAGATTATAATATACATAGCAATATATTCAGGCATGCAACGATAAATGTTTAGGCTTTGCACAAACGCAACTGAAAAATCTTCAAATTGCCATTAGCTCTGACACGAGGTAGTAAAGGTAAATCATTACGAATAGGACATGTATGGCCAGGGAAACGTCGCAAGGGTCCAAAATAGAAACAAGGGCAGGACATACTCAGAAAGGTTATAAGTACAACAAGCATCAATGGAATGACAATGCCGATAACTCTTGTACGCGCCACGAGCACGAGTACAATGGATACGGTACAAGTAGGAAGTGAACAGCACACACATACAACATACACGTTATATACATGACCACCTACGACACACATATACAACATACACAGCCTGGGACACGCCCGTTGGGGAGACTTCCTTCATCATCAGCAGCCGTTCCACACCGTTGGCGGCATAGCTGTTTGAAACACAATGAGAATAGAGAATTAGCCACATGCAATGGTATTCCAATGGGCCTGAACGTCCTTGTACATACAACTGAGTACTATGGGACGTGGCAGACACTTGGGCGTGAGGGATATCACTCGGTGATATCTGCGAGCGAGAGACAATCCAATGCAATCTCATGAATGCAGGAGAACTACACGTTGACATACGCACGATACCGGATTCGCAAATAAACGAACAATACGATATCTGCAGACTTGGTGTATACATCTCCGACACCCGCGCTTGTGATAAGTACCGACAACAGGCAGAGGCTGCGAGTGTTCAACGCGTGTAGTGGGCTGTGGTTCATGCACTCATACCTACTTTACAGACAGTTCACGTCGTATGCAGTAGAATCACAACATACCTGCTTAGGACAACGCTGCTTGACAGTATGTGGGCGACCAAAAGCGGCAGGGCCTCTATCAGCACTTGTTTACCCAGCTGTCGGAAGAAGCAAGGTGCATAAACACGATTTAGCAACTGAGCCATGGCAGATTAAATACTAATCGATGGCATGGTACGAGATACGCAATGTCCAAAATAAGGAGAACGCGATGCCAAACCACGTGACAAGAGTCATCCGAAGTGTGATGACAGAAGCTACGCCCGAGCAATAGGAATACAGCGCACATGTCCAAAAGTCGCCAAAATATTCCTAAATGCTCAGATGTTGTGATAGGTCCAAATATATACGACTTTTTATTATACGACACATCGCCTCATAATAGTTGCACAATGTGACACATATGGTCACACAATACGACACATATGGTCACACAATACGACACATATGGTCACACAATACGACACATATGGTTTCACAATGCGACACATATGGTTTCACAATGCGACACATATGGTTTCACAATGCGACACATATGGTCACACAATATGACACATATGGTCATACAATACGACACACATGGTCACACAATACGACACATATGGTCACACAATACGACACATATGGTAACACAATACGACACATACGGTCACACAATACGACACATACGGTCACACAATACGACACATACGGTCACACAATGCGACACATATGTCACACAATACGACACATATGGTCTCACGATACGACACATATGGTCACACAATACGACACATACGGTCACACAATACGACACATACGGTCACACAATGCGACATATATGTCTCACAATACGACAAATATGGTCTCACGATACGACACATATGGTCACAATGCGATACATATGGTCACACAATACGACACATATGGTCTCACAATGTGACACATATGGTCTCACAATGCGACATATATGGTCACAAAATACGACACACATGGTCACACAATACGACACATATGGTCTCACAATGCGACACATATGGTCTCACAATACAACACATATGGTCACACAATACGACACATGGTTTCACAATACGACACATATGGTCACACAATACGACACATATGGTCTCACAATACATATGGTCACACAATTACAAGCAATGCTAACAACAACCACTAATTGAGCCATGAGTATGAGCTACTGTAACACCATTAGAAGTTGCACTGATGAACCTAATTTCTTAAACGTGTAATAAGCGATATACATTTGTTGATCATGCAAACCAACTCTATAGCATGCCGTCCGGAGTAGACTCACACTCGTACAACACTACTACTACAATCAGACAGTGCTACTGCCGTAAGCTTCGAAGTCGTGCCATGGGACGAACGTACCTGATTCCTGAAGGTGGTGACGTACTTGACACAGTCACTCTTGATCACCGGTCTTTCGTCGATGTTCTGTATCCTTAGTTCGTCGATGATGGTGTTCTTGTAGAAGTCCAGCAACGGAATGAATTCGTTAACCTTGGTGGCCCCTGCTCGCGCCAGTGTGCTCGTTACTGACAGCGAGGTCACCAGATAAATCGCTGAGCAGTTGATAGATAAATAGAAAATATACCACATGACATATATTAGATTGCTATTTGCATTGGCAATATACACGCTGTGGATACAGCAAGGTCACCAGACACACTGGCTAGTATCGCAAAAAAGAAAAAAAAGAATAGAGAATACACCACAGTAGATATACTTGGAAATATGGAAATATGTGTGTGTTGAATACAGCGAGGCAACCAGACACGTCGCTGAGCACTGTAGGATTTTCTTAATAAAATAGATCTTAAGGAATATGTCTGAATGTTGTTGGATATATGCGCATATTGAGTGACCAACCTAGAGTTTTCTATACAATTGTCCATAGACTGGCCAGATATATGACTGACAAGGAGAGCAACTTAGATGCAAACGAGTCACCAACATGCATATGCGGTCAAGCGGGAAACGTGGTCACCTACCAGCATCCTTTGACTTCCAGTTGTTGACAGGATCTTTCGCATATTCAGCCTGACATAGGAAAAAAAGGTGCGATACATAACTCAGCTTCCATCCCAGAAAGTGAGGGACTTGCCACTGTCGACTGAAATCCATAATATGATATAAAGACTGCATTCCGAGATCGACTGCAATTTTTCTTCTTTGGCATACAACGTGAGAAATTTGCCGCTCTTTTCCGCGCGTTATTGAGTGGTCAATAAACCATATTCCATGTTACATTCTATACGTATTTGATCATTCGTTACGCTATACCGCGCACATGTGCTGTTTCCTTTTCGCATCAAAATCGCACATGCACACACTCCACCTCTCTTATATACGACTCACACCGACACGCGAAAAGAGACTTTCGGTAACTTGATTAATAATCCAATAGAAACACATCACGGGAGAGTAAATTACAGCAACGGTAGCAACTCGACATGCGAAATGTGACTGATCTTCCCGTTCGTTAATCGTATTGTTGTCTCAATACCTACAATCATCCTCTCTCTCACACATAAGGTATATATATATATATATACACACACACACACACATATATATATGCATGTGTGAGTATATGATCCTATAGTATAGAACTTACCAGCATCACCTCAACGTATGACGAGAATATAGCCGTCACTTGCTGTTCAAAGTGTTGTCTCAGCGCCTTTACCAGATCACACGCAGCTCGGCGCCGTGTCTCGGTGTCGCTGCCTTCGATGTCTTGGCCAATGTACTCCTGAGGATCGTCTTCGAAGGCCTCCACATCCGATTCGCGCAGCTGCATGTTGGGTATCACAATCTTCTCGCAAATGGTCTGTGGTGCGGAGAAATGGAGTGGATAAGCTGTGTGCGCCCAGAGCATCTCTAAACCGAGTGGCTGGTAGACGCCGCAATTGGTTGAATCGAAGTCTTGCTGTATTATAGCCAGCAGTGAAATGATTGAAGCCATATGCTCACTCCGGCGAACGCACGACGCAAACAGTGGAAATATTCAAAGCATACACATACGCGAACTACACGAACGATTAGAAGATTATATCCAATAGGTATACAAGGATGAATACAATGCGTACGATCTTCCATAGGTATGAATTACGTCTGATGATATACACCTATGCATAAGGCATACTCGCAGGATAAATATATATACGCATGAGCAACTCAACTGAATTTAAAAGTGGCTAGCATGAAGTTTAACCCTATACATATGAAAAAAATCCAATGTGTAGGTAAATACATGAACTACGTAGAAAATACGCATGTCTGCATAAACGTTTACTCACTGGCGCGTGTCCACACATATGCGAAACCCTAAATACATATACAAACAGATTCGTTTCTAGAATGAGTATGTATGCTTTATGTACTATCGGACATATTCACACCTACACCTTTTCTTACGTAAGCGAACGCACGTGACAACGTATAGAAAAAAAGTCCAATATGTATATGTGTCTACCCAGTAGTCACCTACAATCGTACATATATATATATACAAACACCCCCTGCTTACTTTGAGCGTGGCGGGATCGCCAAACATGCTGCTAGTCCCCGGTCGCTTAGCAACCGCCGACAGGAATGCCAAGCCTCCAGACACCAGGTAATCGTTTTTGATCTCACCGCTGGTTGTACATAGAAGGTTCCAAATGTCCTCCACAAAAACGGGAAGGTGCTTTCTGAATGGCACATCTTCTTCATCGTACTTGCCAGCGTACAGCGCCACATTGTCACAGGCCTGGGCGAGAAGTACAGTGCACTAATGTTATTACAAGAGTAGTAGGTAAACATTGTACTTCTACGCGATGAATACTTGGCTGGGGTTACATACGGGGTGTTGGTGAGTATCATATTGCATACCCAGTGCGCCGCGAACACGTGCTAAAGTATATTCTCACTCGAACTAAAATTTACAGCCAACAGTTTGCCCTTCTACGCCATGGTGTAATCGCAGTACACTGTTCGTACAGGTAGGTATAACAGGCAAAGCTACTCTGAAAGTTTGTGATTAATGCTGGTACGATACTAGTAGCATGTAATGTCGGTCACAACCCCACTGCTCCTGAAAACTCTCAGAATGCAACAAGTAATAAACGATTGTAGGGCACAAAAGTTGCTTTAAGTACTTGTTGCATCTGAACAATCAAAACACCTATGTGTGTGCATGCGGTCGTACTTCTATCCGTATTGACCTTCCGAATGACCTCGCTCCATCAATGTAACACACACACACACACACACATATATATATATACAGGTCCAAGCACTAGAATTGGTTTATATATCCTAATTCCAAATTAAAGACTTCATTCATACCACACACACCAACTGCCTCCCAATATCCAGTAAAGAGAATGTCAATACACTCGTCGAAATGATATCTCAAAAAGCACACACCTTTGCCATAGTCTTCTCCAGGGGTCCAGGGCGGTCGTCGCTGTCACTGCGCACGAGGGGATTGTCATACACAAGCAGAGTGTGGTGGATCAGCATCCACTGATCCATGTTGTCTTCGAAGAATTCGGGTAAATCTGGGCGAGTTCCGGTAATTGGGCTTAGTATATGTCACTGCTCTACATCAATGTTCTGCCGAGGTTAACAGATACAGGACGACACCAGTTCGACGTGGCCCACTATATACACATATAATTGAGCTGAAAGCCTTCTCACCCGCAACAAACACACACAGAAAATCATATCCATTCGTACGTGATTTACCTTGATAATTCAGACTGTAGAATATATCCAGAGCCGAGTGCAGCAAGGAGAAGACAGTCGTGAGGGTGTCGCGATTGCTGGCGTTCTGGGGGAGGATGCTGATCATCTTCGCTGTGATATCGGTGAGCGGCTGCGCAAACTGCTTCAGCGCAATATTGATCTCTGTCCACAGTTCATCGCTCTTGAACTCGTATGTGTACCTGTGGTTGTGGAAGTGCGCAGGACTTTGAGTATGCAAGGACTTGGGGAACCAGGTAGTGTGCAGATGTATTGATGGGGTATGTGCGATTACACGACAGTGAATTTGAACCCGGCAACCTGCACGAGGCGTTTAAGAACACATAAGTCAACATATATAGGTAGTGGATTGACAGATTGAACACAAAGTAGACATAGATACGTAGTGGATTGCCAGATTGAACACATTAGTAGACATAGATACGTAGTGGATTGCTCAGATTGAACACATAAGTAGACATAGATACGTAGGGGGTTGCTCAGGCTGTGTGCAGGAGCGAGAGAGGTGTGAAGTTCGATTGATGAGGACTCGATGGTTCGACAACTCATACAAACTTTGCTCGTGGCCATGCATGCGATGGTGCTCGGATGCGTTTTTGCAGGTATTTCTGTGTACGTAATCGTACTATCCACGAATATGGCGGCAGCTATACAAAACGTATGATACGCTGTGCGCGCATTTCAGCAAGGCACCAGTGTATGCCATACCTGTTGAACAGACTGCTGGCTGTGCGAAGCACCCCGTTAATAACACTGACATCGTTGTTGTCGAGTTTAGCCACAAGTGAAGGCAACAGCTCAGGCCAAGCGTCCGGGAAGTCGTGCTTGCCGATCAGACTCACAGCTTCACTCAGCTGTACGTTGAAAAAAATGAGACAGCACCGTAGGTAAGAATATTGCAAAGTATTGAAAATTGCTTCTGAGCATACATTCAACTTCTTTCTCACTGAACGTTGCGGAAACCCGAAGGTATAGTAAAACATTATGGACAGCAACTGGGTGATGGGAAGAGTGCACATATCTGAACAATATGCACATTCCACGTAAGTGGCCGAGTATAAATTGGCTCTTCAATTGAGAGCCCATGCACAAAAAAAATTTATGGCGAAGTGGCGCATATCTGAACATAATTGAAAGTGATCATATGGTGCGAAATACTGCGAGGTTCCTCAAAACTGCACTATCGACTTTAAGCCCAGTACCTATCCAGCACCTTACAGTGTGAGCTCGATCGATGACTACATCCATGCGAATCGGAAGTGCCACTGTCCGGTACACAGTTGGCTGACGACCGATGTGCAAGAGTTTCAAATCTGAGCGTCCATGCAACGGCATACCGCTCGCTCGCACGCGTCCACGCATACACGCCCGCACACACACACACACACACAATATATATATATACACACACACATATATACATACATACATATATATATACACACACACACACACACACTATATATATATATATATATATATACTATATATATACTATATACTATACAACACACACACACACACACACACACACACACACACATATATATATATATATAGAAATATAAATAAATAAATATGAAAATTAAGCTCTTAAATCCACAACCTTGTATCCCTTTAAACATGTATTTACAGAGATGACAGTTGTAAATCCTTTCCTAGCGTCAGTCCAGTGATTCTTCAAAATTTCATGAAATGTGTCCCCTTGCATATCTAAAGTGATATTGTAAACTATATCATAACAGATATGCAACCAAAAGTAGTCCTGGATATAAATTGCACTAGTACCACTGTTGATTACTTACCTGAGCCTGTAGCTGGGAAGGCATTTTTAACATCAAATCAACAATATGCGTCTTAATCGTCAGCCTGTCTTGGTCTGCGATTTTGTTCACCTGGCCATCAATCTCCCAATTCTTTTTGATGAAGTTTTTAAATGTTACCGCAGCGGCAACTCTAAGGTGCAGCTCGTGTGTATCCTCACTAACTATTTTTAGTAGTAGTAATGAATAGTTCTGACTCTTAGAGGCTTGCTCGATTGTCTGCTCGGCCACAACCCGCACATTCTGGTCCGGAGAGAGCGTATTTTGCAGCTGCAGCTTCAAATTGGCGATTGAAGCAGCCATGTTGACTCTGCGTGGAAAGATATGCTCGCAAAAATGTATGGATGTATGATATATGCAAATATGTCAGCAATATCTTGTTTGCTAATCAACGTCCACAAACAGTCCCTATTTATATGACAACTATAACTATTCAAAACAAGCTGAATGTGCACTTACAAATATAGTCGCGCACAGTACAACAAGGCAAACAAAATACAAATATTTTTATATTTTAGAATGCGGATCGCTCATCGCTCTCGTGATCGTGGTATATGACTCATGAGAGAGGACTTTATTGCCGCCTTTTTTCTTCTTCTGGTGGATTACGTGTGCTGGGTCTTGGGTTTGTTTCTAAATGTCTTCTTTTTTCAGGGGGCTATGGTACTTTGTTGATTATTCAGTAGGCTATGGTACTACTGTACACACTTCTCCCTCTAGAGAGAGGAGTAGAGTATATATCTATTGTTCAATGTATTTAGAAGGGCTACGTATATTATGTGTATTCGATATTGTGCACGATATACTCCGATGTTGGGTACCTGACACCTCCTAACATCCTCATGTTTGTTCGTGCGTATCGTATGTGTTGTTTTGTACCAGCCAGCGAGGCTGTGAAATCTTCTGAGATCCACTGCGTAGAACGAAATCCACGATAGATTTCTACGCTTGACCATGAACCATCATGTTATCGATTTTCAATACAGCAAGTGCACAGATTACTTTGTATTATTTCAAAATATTTGAGGCCCAACGTCTTGCTTCATGTGACATGTTTCAAATGTCGTATGCACAAGTTCATTTCGTGGCTATGGCAGAATGAAGCGTGATTTTTGAAGGCTATTCAGCCCGGTATGTTATTTTATAGACGTTGTAAATCTATATATAAAGCAGAATTAGGCATTAAATGTGACACTTATCATATATTCGCTTTCTGTGCAATTTTGATACGCATTGTCATCATGGTAAGACTTATAAAGTTGCCTACAATAGGCATTGCATCCCTCTTCCTGCTCGTGGTCACTACCACGTCCTTTGCTGCTCGCTCACTTGAAAGTGCAACAATACTGACACATCACGGAGACACGGCGGAACTAGATGACTACACTTGCGCAGCATGGCAAGGTGAATGCCCTGATGGCCAGGTTGCCGCCTCGAGGGATAAATACTGTCATTGTGGCCGAAAGCATTGTCACTGTACCAAACACCATTGCTGCAAGGAAAAAGAAGGTTCCGAAGATAAAGTAGGTGATGAGGGTGATGAAGATTCAGTCGACTACACTTGCGCAACATGGAATGGTGAATGCGCTGAAGGCCAGGTTGCCGCCTCAAAGGACAAGTACTGCCATTGTGGCCGAAAGCACTGTCACTGTACAGAACACCATTGTTGCAAGGAGAAAGAAGGTTCCGGAGACGAAGTAGGTGATGAGGGTGTTGAGGATTCAGTCGACTACACTTGCGCAGCATGGAATGGTGAATGTGCTGAAGGCCAGATTGCCGCCTCAAAGGACAAGTACTGCCATTGTGGCTGGAAGCATTGTCAGTGTACCAAACACCATTGTTGCAAGGATAAGGAACTAGTGCTATGAACAAGCCTGTCTAGGGAAATTTTGTGCCATCAACTTGTATGCTGCTACGGCCGCGTATGATTGGCCTTATTGTATCCGAACATGGCGTGCCCAGGGCTTTCGTGCTCGTCGGAATAAAGCAAAGATAGATACGATTGTGACTGGAAACATGCATTGTAAGCGGGCTTGTGCAAACCCTGCACTGAACGGTTGTCCATTACTACACAATGGTACGCATTTGACACCATTTCACAAAATATAATACTATCCAACGCTTTGAATTAGAGTAATCGATCGGTCGAGTGCTTAGACGCTTATAACGTTTTATCACTCGAATAGGATAACCCCACTAAATTAATAGTACTTCATAGTGCGTGCTCAGCCTTGTCTGCAGCTCCCGTGCAAGTGGTCTAAATATCAGAAAGCCATACGCAAGTCTGTCACACTTTAAACCCTCGGTACTCTCACAGTCTATTTCATGCAAAATAGGGCACTATACTTCTCCACACGAGAGTGGTGGGCATACCGCACAACACACGAAAGTAAGATACGTAATAACTTTTACCTGTTGGCTTTAATTAGTCAATTACCGACTTACCGCTACAGTCTATACGACCAGCTGCTACACCTCATAGTCCGTTCTAAGCTCTGGTACTATCTACTGAATACGCGTCCATTTCTTCATGCGTCTATTCTTTACAAAAATCGTTTCAAAAGTGTGCTATACGCGTGCTATGCATGTGCTACATTATGTGGGTGGGGACAGTGTCAGACCGCACAGGTGGATGCGAAGTATGTGTGCCCTAGCAACCATCGAGAAAAAGGACCTACGTTGCAGTACACATCACAAGGATTTTCTCTCAATACGATAGACTAGACCTTGCGTGTTGGCACATTTCGTATCTCCCCACCGGCAGAACTATCAGCAACTCCTTATAACTAACCATACGCGTGTACCTCCGTCTGTCTGATAACTCAAAGTATAAGTCCCATCAGTCCTACTGTCGCCGCTACTCGCTCTATGCATTTAAATGAGCTGCGGCTATGCACAGGTCACTATACACTATGATCCTTCGCCAATGCTGCTATCGCGCGGCACAAAGCTGGTTCATTCCCGCTATTCCTCGTTACGGGCAACAATCTGAACGACCTCTCCCCGCCCCCTCTCACATGTCCAGCCCTAACTCATCTACTATTGGTGTGCACAATACTAGTACATTCGCTTATCAGACGATCCGTGCACTAATCCCCGCAGCCCTCGCCAGACGTGTAGAGTGAAGGGTTTTCACGTCCATGCCTGCGTGCTGCGCAACGTACGCTCACCGTGTACTTGTCAGTATAGGCGTACACAGAAACACGGAGCACTACGGCACACACGTTCTCCTTCAAGTAATCGCGCACACATGTAAGTCAGTGGTGCCTTCCTGAAGGAAGCGTTGGTTAGGATGGAGTGTCGGAGCCTTGGGCATTGAGAAGCTTACTCAGCAACCAGGCATCATGCTGGACCTATGTCTGTCTTCGGTGGTGATGAACCACTATTTCGTCCACGAAAGGCACTACCACAGCCCAATCGAGAAGCAGTATCGTACTGCAAGTATCTACGAACTACAATAACAGTGCGTACGCTATGATTGCTGCAGGTCTATTCCATTCAAGTGAGCAGTCTACCCCGCTTGCGAATTCTTCATAATTTAGGGCCCAATAATAGGCCCAATTTAGTGACTATGACGGCTGCGCAGGTAGTATCGTGGCTGACGGATCGTTTGACAGCCGCGGATATGTGGGGGAGTCTGCAGATAGTAATTGGTCAATGGGTCAGCGTGTGGTTGAGTATTGATATTCCATCCTCATATTTGCACTTGAAGCATGAGGTGAAAGTATTTTAAATCAAAAGGATAGCGCCCATGGAGATTGAAAATAAATCCCAAATTGCTAACTACAGATGTTGCGCGATGATCGGAGAAGATAAACAGCATTCTTAGTGCCGAGTCTGCATGCTGCATAACGCGTGGAAAATTATAATACGAATAACCACACCAATATACCGAATCGTTACAACTGGTGCTGAACTTATAAGCTGTATCGGGCATAGCTCCGGTCATGATGTCCACAATACGGGTAACACCAACCATCCCCCAAACAAACCATGTAGCAACAGCTATTCCAACTGACCTCGAGTATTCGAACTGAACCTATAAGCCGTGTTGCGGGTGGGACTGGTCATCATGCCTTCGCTGGGGCTGGGCACACGGGGCGGATGTGATCCCTGCACAGTCTGTGTGGCGAATCGGAAGTTCTGCTGTCGTGGACTGCCGCTATTCCGGGGCGACGGCACCACAAAACGTGCGTTATCCAATGCAGGCAAGGCGGTGATCCCCCTACCCATAGTACGCGACTCGTCGAACGGGAGAGTTGGGTTGTCGTAGTGGTTGGGGTTCTGAGCAAGCAGGTGCGAGGATGAATAAGGTATCTATTCAGCTGAGGAAAAGGCCTTGTTGGGTTGTATTTAGATTGTACATAGTAAAGTATAGGGATGCAATGATGCATACCTACCAGTCTTGGTTAAGAGGATGCTGAGTTGTGAAAAGGTAGGGGCTGAGAGCAATCTAGCGAGGCGATGACACTGCAAGACTTGTTTATCAAAGTAGAAGATACACCCAGCACACAATAACAAACGATACCAATTGCGATACAAGCTTCAGATTACTTACTTGGAATAGACCTGGGGTATAATTAGGAATACTCATATTAGGCGGTAGTAATGGCCCTCTGTCGGAGCGATTATTGCCCCCTCTCGGCTGGTTGGGATTGGGTATATGACGGAAGAAGAAAGTGACCGCGAAAATAGGCACTAATTCCCAGGCGACTACCATTAAAAATAACAGCACAGCTTCCTGATTTGTTTCCTAATATTTGATGATGAACACAAAGACCATAAATTAGCGAAAACGAATTGACTGAAGCACAAAAATACAATATATATGTACGTATGTGTGTATCTGCCTATCTACCTCCTATCTACACACACACACATACACACAAAATATAGTAACAAGACAGCAACTTATTAAGTCAAGAATACGTAGTCTCTGCGACACATATTCTGCAGAGTATTGGAAGGCGATGTATTTCAATTCAAGCGGAGATGAAGGACCATTGAATACGATAGCAAACAACTGATACCTACTGTAGCAGGGATTAGATACCAATGAGCCGAACGCAAGTATAAAAAGCGATTTCGTAAGTAGACCACCAGCAGTAAAACTGGAATAGCGGCATGAGTGTGCTGGCCCATTCCCGAATCCACTGAATATAAGCATACCATAAGATTATACATACCCCAGCAACAAAAGCGATTTCGTAAGTAAACTACTAGCTGTAAAACTGGAATAGCGGCATGAGTGTGCTGGCCAATTCCCGAATCCACTGAATATAAGCACACTATAAAACCATACATACCCCAGCCATACGAAGACTAAATTTCCCAGTGGCTGCAGCTAACACATTGAAGGTCGACCGCAGTGTGAACAGCGACGACAGAACTATAGTCAACGTTCGTATTTGCAAGCCTGTCAGCTCAGTAGCCAGCAATTGTACTCGCGAGTCTGTGATCATGCGTGCGAGGGTGAGGCCGTACTGCGTAGATAAAATGAATCTGTGTTAGAACGTATATACTCAAAATATAGACGGAAAAGTAGCATTTATGTGAAGAGAGAGAGAGAGATATATATATATATATATATATACATATATATATATATATATATATACATATATATACATACATACATACATATATATATACATACATACATGCATGCATGTGGCTCAATTGAGTGCTTCAAAGTATACGTTACCTAGCTGGGGGAGTATTAGTCACAGGCGGCGACAGATGTAGATAAAATCCGTACGAATGCCCGAGATATCCCAGGTGCGCGAGACATACATGCCCAGGCGAACTGAGATGCACAGAGATTATAAGCCAACAAATATCCCGTAACATATGCGCAGACAGCAGCTTTAACACACTGATAGCATAAATACCTTGATCAGGAGCATTGACAGTACGAAGAATAGCAGAGCAGCCACGCAAGCCCTGGCCATATTCGGATCGTTTATGACATCGTGCTTAAAGTGGTGTTTCGTGCTAGGAACGATCCAACCTGCGAAGGGGTACAAGTTAGTGTCACCAGAACTGACCGAGTATGTACTATTTGCTTCCTCTCGGCAGTCAAACGCATATATTTATAGAGATATGAATCAGTTCCATTTGTTCGACAGACAAACAGAGGACATAGCGTTCAATTCAATCTCACAGTAGCCGAAATGTCTTCGGTAGTGAGGTTGTATGCACACCATGGGTGCCATACATACCGCACTCTTGGTATCTACCATCTACAACCTTAAAACGCTCATGTGCGGATGATCCATCGTAGATGAACAAGACAATAAAGCCCGATACATGCACTGTAAGGAGAATGCGAACACGCTTCAATTCTTAAGCGCTCTGAACTCCATTTGCTACCACGAATACAGTACTACACCCTATACCTCCATCACACCTACCACTATCTTTCTTTACTATCTCATATGTCATTACCAACCCAGTTTGCTGTATCGTACCACTACTCACCACGCAATCTCTATACTAAATAAACCGAGTATAACAACCAGTCCCCACGATTTCTCGGTACAATTCACCACACCACTCGACACGCCAAAACTCACCCATTAATCCCAGCAGAAGAAATAGATTGAGTGCGACCCAACTACCCAGAAAGTAATTGCCTCTCTCTTCCCATTCTTGTTTGTGCACCATCTTTGCGAAAAAGAGTACGATCAGCGAGAACATCGCAAACTGTATGTGTAAGGGAGTCCTGGGGCAGAAAAATAATATATATACAGTGAGCGAAAGCGTGGATAGATGAACGGCACAGTTATATACTCGCTTTAGGATAAGTTGTTAGTGTACTTTTCGTGTTTGGATTGCCGGGTCATTCGGCTAAAAACTGAAAAGGCAATTTAAAAAATAATCGACACTATTCATTTCAATAAATACAAGTATATATACTCGAGTGGAAAGTCAAATAAAAACGTATGGTTGTCACGCATTGGAACACAGCAGTAAGTCGCAGTGTAGGTAAACGTTGTTGCAGTACGACTAAACATATGCGGTCAGATACCTAAACTAACCTTGAGTATTGAAGCACTCATAAGCACATATAGCACACAACAGTGCAACTGGACGTGCAACAGTGTACATGTTCATGATCTTGAAACTTGCTCTGAACATGAACGCGTAGAAAGACTTGCACCAGTGAACCATATCCGAGATAACAACAAACTGGCTTACGCTAGCATAACATACCAGTTATATAAACACCGGCATACTGTAGCATATATTCAAGCGTCAGTATTCAATAGAGAATATACATACATACCAGTATATGATGGTCCAGCTGATCATGGGCAGGTCGGGCGCCCAGCTTTGGCCATATATAATGAAGAATACGAACCTCATTACGGTCTCAGTGAGGGACATCAACAGAAAATAGTTCTGGAAAGAGGCCTGTGGGAAAGGTGCAACATATTATTTTCAAATATCAGTGCAGAAATGCACCTACTAATGGGCCATAAACGAGCCACAGACATGAGAATACGGGTTAATATGTCACGAGCGCGAGAGAAAAAAAATGGCAGATCGACCCACTCATACGATACTGAGGAATTCTAGATTTTAGAGACGTTTGGTGATATTTGGCATATTGCTTTTGCTTTTTGTGGAAGATGCTGTTTCACTCTTCATGATATGGCAGACAGTTTTAACGAGTGAAATGATAGACTGTTGCAGATAGTGTGCACCGCCACGTACAACAGAGTGGGAAGAGAAACTGGGAAGTTGTGCAAAAGGGATTGTAATACCCATGACATACCATTCGATGCCCATATGAGTATATCTTCCACATCTGATATCCGCAGTACAGAGACTGGATGAAGAACAAGACTGCACGCGAAGTGGTGATAATGTAGAAAAAGTACAGCATATTTGATGAGAAGTTCTACTTCTCGGTGCTCATATTTGACAACTTGTGTATTTTGCTTCAAAATAGACTTGGAAATAAGTACACACACATATACGAATGCATGTGTATAGGTATATGAGCCAAAATCTGTTTAGTGGACACAATCAAATCATATCTCAAAATGTAAAACCATAGCATTTTATCAAAAGTTCAGTAAACAAATAGTGTACATATGCGTAGGTCAGATGATCCGAGTTGTACACATCAATATCACAAAGGAGGAACGAAGTAGATAAATTGGAAAACAATGGGGTTCAACCTCACCATAGGAATTTCATTTACGTGCGATACTACTGATGTACAGAAGTACTGACCAGGACGACCCACATTTGTGTCCGCGAAAACAAAAATACAAACAAACAAATACACACAAACACACACACACACACACAAACACACATGCGCGCGCGCACGCATATATATATATATATATATATATATATAGACACACACACACACA